TGCCGGCAGTCTTGGTTTCCATCAGTGAGAGTGCATCCCCGATCATTACCTTTGTCCGACAAAGGGGCTGATCCTTTCACTATGATCACCCACTCAGATGAATTTTCGGATTGTCCCAACATATCCAGGTTTTGACTCTTGCTAAGGATCTCACTGATTGGTATATCAAAGACAGTCCGATCCGACACCTAGTGCAGTATCATAATCGAGTCTAGGGTTCGGGTGTAAATTTCCAGTTTTTGCCTATCAATCTCCAAAGTCCAGGGCAATATTGGAAAACTGGTCCAATTTAAAAATTCAAGAAATCCTACACTATATGTGCCTAGGGTCTCACCCTAACAGTTGAGACAAGCCACCCCAACCGACTTGGTGGCACCACAGTGTCGGTCTTGTCAGGATAGGTCTCCCCAGACCGACCCATTGGCTGTGAACATTCTAAACTAACACGAGTCTCATTAAGTGTCCAATTTAAGGGTATTACATAGAAACATCCCAAGGGAACATGAATCAAATATGTATCTTTATTCATTTACAATAAACTCATAAAGTACATTCTGATCGAAGCTAAGGGCGTACAAAACTGTCTAACAGCTCCCACTTGCACTTAGGTCCAATCTGGTACTAGCCAGAGTCCCATGCTTTCTACGTGTTTTTTAAACACTTTCTGTGATAGTGACTTTGTTAATGGGTTTGCTACATTTTCCGTTGACGCTACTTTCTGAATCAGGACGTCCCCTCTACCAACAATCTCCCGTAGTACGTGATACTTCCTCTCGATATGCTTCGACTTCGAGTGGGCTCGTGGCTCCTTAGCGTGAGCAATGGTTCCATTGTTGTCACACAACAAGGGGATGGGTGATGTGCTGGACGGAACCACTCCCAAGTTGTAAACGAACTTCTTCATCCACACGGCTGCTTATCCAGCAAACAGCACACGATCATATCGTGAAAACATATGCAGATGTAGACTTTCTATCATCTGGGTCTGATTGGAAATCGTCATTTGTATACCCTTAGATCTGTAGTGAGCTACCGTCGAATACTAGACAAAACTCTTTTGTCGGTACTTAAGTATGTTTTTCACAGCAGTCCAATGCTCTTGCCCTGGGTTGGCCTGAAATCTRCTTACTACACTCACTGCCTGAGCTATGTCAAGACGAGTGCACAGCATGACATACATGATGCTCCCTACGGCTGAAGCATAAGGAACGTCTTTCATGCCATTAATCTCATCAGAAGTCTTGGGAGACATCTTCTTGGAGAGAGTGACTCCGTGCCTGAAAGAAACATTTCCTTTTTTGGAGTTTTCCATGCTGTATCTCTTGACTATTTTRTCAAYRTAAGYAGATTGGGATAATCCTATTATCCGCTTCGATCTATCTCTATAGAGTCGAAGACC